GATGTTCAAAACCATAGTGCAGATTCCTGGATCGTGAGTGATGGAGGTAAGTGAAGATGATCGAACTTCAGAATCAAATGTCTACGCGTGCATATAGCAGACATGACTCGCTGCACGGTCGATGCCGACGCGTCGCGATATGCAGCCCAGCCGAGGCGATGTTGTTTTGGCGGGGGAGCCGGATGTCTTTAAGCGTGGGGAAGGCACAGCCCTGGAGGCAGCGAATGGGAAGCTTGGACCCCTGACGTCTTTCCGCGTCGACGTGAGTCGAGATGAGCAGCACGACAAGACGCCAAACCTTTATTGGGCTTTATACACCATGGCTTCCGAGATGGGAGAGTTTGTTCACTGTTTACACATTAACCTAGGGCAACATGGCTAACGAGGGATTTGCGAAACCATGGCTGGAGGTATGTCAAGTGGGAGCATGTGCATCAGAGTATTCTAACGGGTCGCGTAGTTCGAAGAAGAGTTCGGCGAGCGCATGCTCTTGAAGCCGCCGGTTTCGAGCATGACTGAGCAGTTCATGCGATACGGTGGCCTCATGGCTTCGAAATACACCTTCCCCGCGCCCGACCCTTCCGTAAAGACCGAGGACACAGTCACCGACGACGGGACCAAAGTGCGCATATACACACCTGATGGGTACACCGGTGGCAAGCCAGTGTGCATGTACTATCATGGTGGTGGCTGGGCTATGGGCGACGTCAACGGCGACGACCCATTCAGCAGAGCAATCTCAAAAGACGGCGGCATAGTGGTTGTATCTGTTGAATATGGCCTCGCGCCGGAGAACAAACATCCTGGGCTGCTGAACGAGTGCTACAAGGCCTTGGTGTGGGCGTTAGGCAATTCGAAGCGACTCAACACCGCTGAGGGGAGATACCTCACTGCAGGAGTCTCCGCTGGAGGCCAACTGGCTTTCGCAACTGCGCTGAGAGGCCAGGACGAGAAGTCGGGCGAACTTGTTGGTGTTGTTGGAATTATACCTGCGACTGTCCACCCAGATGGTGTTCCCGAGGCACTCCGGACTAGTTATACATCAATGGAGGAGCATGATCAACATACCATCAACACTTCGGGGGCGATGCGAGACTTTTGGGCTGCCTTCGGTGCACCACCAACAGATATATACGGATCGCCGCTTCTTCACCCAGGAATCAAAAACCTGAAGAAGGTCTACATGGCTATTGCGGGCCAAGACACATTGAAAGATGACGGCATGCTTATGAAGCGTATGCTCGATGATGCGCAGTAGGTCTTCTGTTTCGTTGCTCTACTATTGCTGACGTGAATGCAGGGTACCTGTCAAACTCGACTACTACGATGGCTATCCACATTTTTTCTTCGCCTGGCCTTCGCCCAAACTCGATGAGCCGAGGAAGCAGTTCTATGACAACCTGACTGAAGGAGTGCAGTACGTGTTGTCGGAGTAGGCGTAACTTGATCATGCATAATCAGTCAATCCATATGCATTGTTATGGTCCAGAAACAGCGTCCACAACTCGTCTAGGTGAATGCAGTCGTACCTGAGCTGCATCACGACAACGCGGAACAATAGGTCACTACCAAATGTTGTCTATTAACTTGGAGTGATCCTGGTCTCTTCTGGCTTGTCATCTTCCCAGCGTTGACTGAAGATGCACCCGCACTCAGCTGTATGTGCAATGCTGTCGACACCTCTTTGAATCCACAGCACGTAGAACTTATACTCCTGGCCTTACTCGTAACCATTTGCTGGCACATCGAGGATCTCGTCATGTCCCTCGGTTGCATCGATCTGGTAATTGTGTTCATCCATCGGAATCAACTCATCCGAACTATCAATCCACTAGTCAAGTATTACTGATCTTGCGCAGGAGCTGGATATTTCCACTCGAAAATCTTTCGCAATCGTCCAAATCCTCCAGGTTTCCCGACACCCAAGGCAGGGTCAAAGCTTCAGGGATCAACAAAGCACTACCAACCACACCAGGCCCAAGATGGAAGTACATAATCTTGGTATTGTCGTGGCGAACCGAACAAAATCCGCCTGGAAATACCGGAGAAAGGCGGCATAAGACACCCGTGCAAGCGGATAAACCGTGTTCTTAATGAGAAAGTTCCCGACCGTTGTAATGGCATATCAAGTCTGCATAAAGACTGAACCCTATCGAAGTGGACGTAGGATTTCGTTGAAGGATGCTCGACATAGGTGCACATGTGGGGCCACAACGGCAGATCCGGGGCTCTTCTGTGGTTGGAAAACACCCAAGTCCCAGACAGCGCACTCACACTGCCAGAAGACCCATTCATCGAGGAAGAACACGACGCGTCTGCTCAGTGTATGCTCTTGATATGTCCAGGCTCTTTTTGCCCATCTCGACTGGGATGAAGTTTTGTAGTTACTCACAATGCATAATGTTTTGACTTCATCGTCGCTGCGATGGCCGTAGCGCCAGACTGGCACAAGTGGAGTTGTGAAACTCGACTGCATCCAACAAGCAAAGTGCATCTAGATTGTCGAATGTCTGGCATGAGGCACGGCAGCCCTCGAGGAGTCCACGGGTCCCAGTGAGAGCTAAGACATTTCGGGTTGATAGAGGGGACGTGCACGAACTCTTATCTTAGACAAGCTCAGGGGTTCGTATATGGAGGATCGCTCAAGCATTGACACGCACGCTAGCAAATTTCTTGGACCCTGCTTCATCCCATGAACTAAAAGTTAGCTTCAATGCAAACATCAACAGCAACGTCTCAGATGTCCCGGTGACCCATTTCGCAAAGATGGCAGAGTTTGACGGTACCTAGGTATTCATCAAGGGGACGTCCGGCACCTGGGCCATCCTCCAAAACCTCATGGTCAGCATCAATCTCAATAATACGACGTTTGTCCGCGCTCCTGCTAGCGCACGACCCGAGGTAGATAGCTCAGCCAAAAAGGGATCCAACTCGTATCCCTTTTCCGCCCGTTCGAGCCGACACGACGCCCAGTTCGGCAGAAATGCAAGATGAACGCTCCTATTAAACTGTTCCCCCGGAGCCAAGAAGACTTTCCTTCTCCTCACAGGTCTTTCAACCTCGCAACCCAACCATTACACTCGTTTTAAAAACCAATTAATACCACACTCTTTAATCTTTAATAATGTCTTCGATCATCCGCACCGTCTTCGCGCTCAGCGCTGCCGCCGCCGTCGCCGTCGCTCAAGACCCAAACTCCCCACCCCCCAAGCTCGACGCCCCCTGCGCCGATGCCGTTATCTTCATGGCCCGCGGTAACACTGCGCCGTACCATGACTACCGTACATTCCCCTTCGCCGACGCTACGTGCGCCAAGCTAAGGGCTGAGGGCAAGACCTGTGACTACATTGAGGTCGTGTTCCCGTACGGCGGCGACTACTGCAAACAAATTGGCGAGGGAGTCCGCAACGGTCTTGACCAGATCACTGCTTTCAACAAGAAGTGCCCGTGCACGCACCTCATCCTCAATGGCTTCTCTCAGGGTGCCTGGATCATGGGAGATGTCCTTGCTGGACCTGGTGGATGCTCGCAGATCACCACTGGTCTCGACCCTGCCGCGGCTCCTGGTAATGCTAGTAAGTATCCTTGACATGGCACACTCGAACCTTGGACTGTGCTAACGTGGTAACTTAGTCGCTGCTGCTCTCCTCTGGGGCGATGTTAAGCACGAGGCTAACATGCCATACAACGTTCTTGACGGCTCTGATCTACAGAAGAACGGTCGCGACGCCACCTCTCTTGCGCGCCTGAACCGCTTCGCACCCGTCCTGCGCTCTTACTGCTCTAAGGGAGATCCAATCTGCGCCAACGGCGACGACGTCGAGAAGCACTTGAGCTACTTTGAGAAGTACACCGAAGACGCCTCGAACTGGGCCGTTGGAAAGCTCAATGCCGCCGCCCCTCTATGTGCCGCTCCCACACCTACGCCCAGCGCTTCTTCTTCTGCCGTCGCCTCGTCTGTTCGCGTTGCCGCTGTTGCATCTTCGAGTGCTGTTGCATCTTCGAGCGCTGCTGCTTCCTCGAGCGCTGCTGCTTCCTCCGGCGTTGCTGCTTCTTCCGGCGCTACTTCTTCCGGCGCTGCTGCTTCCGGCGTTGCTGCTTCCTCTGGCGCTGCTGCTCCCTCTGGTGCTGCCGCTTACTCTGGCGCTGCTGGTTACCCTGGCGTTGCTGCTTCCTCCAGTGTCGCCGCTCTTCCCGCTCAGCCTACATCTCCAGTTTACGTTGCTCCCTTCACTGCTCCCATGTCATACAAGGCTATGTGCGTTCCCCGCATCACGATCAAGTATCACTACGTTTAAGAGTAAGAAGGACGGAAGATGTAGCGGAGTAGACGTAGTGTCAGCAGTAAATAGGTGTAGATCGATGAAGGCACTATGAAAAAGAATGACCGTCGTATGCGACGTCTGCCTGAACTTTTGGTTTTCGTGCGTGATGAGTGTTTTCCGTCTGCTCTGCAAGTGCGCTATGAACTCTTGTAGAGCCCGATGGTCTAATCTACGAACGTCTAGCCTGGAACCTAAACGTACCTGTGAGTCTCCTGTATCCCCCGTATTTAGTTTCCTACATGAATCCGGACAACACAATCTACTGGAAACCCCTTATCCTGCGAACCTCTAGCAAATCCGCTGTCACATCTGGTATATCCTGGCGCTGGAAGTCCTGCACAAGACCGCTATTTATATTAGGTGTGACGTCTGGGTTCTCAATGTTGAACCTACCTACCTAGGTAGGTATCTAGGATGGTATGGCTACTCACGCAACTAAAGGCACGTAAAACTGACACACTTATTCCTATACATGGAACAGTATATATCATGCACATGGCTAATATACCAATCTGCGCGAACTGAGTGCATAGTGGTGTTGAGGATGTAGAGAGGCGAGCTTGGTTTCGGAGTAGCCGTAGCTTGATCACGCGCATTCAATCATCTATATGCATCCTTTCATGCCATTGCGACAGAATACCTTCCAGTCCGCTGTCGCCAAAGCCATCATTACACCTAGATGCTCTGCAGATCCCAAGCAACAGCAAATGTCTGCTCCTTCCACTCTTTAGTAAAAGCTTGCGCTTTGACGACAATCACAGCCGTTGAGCCAGGAACATCATCCCAAATGATCTTCTCAACTGTATCTGCGGTAGAGGAGAACAATAAGTCAGCGTTCCAGATCATTTGAACATCTTTCCGCTGTGTAATGAGGTATGCTAACTTACTTTCGCAGTCGAATCCCTGGTCGCCGTCTGCCATGTTTCCATGTCGTTCAATGACGTCATCTCCCACGCCAGCACGAACAATGAGATTCATGTCATTTTGCACCAGCGCACCAGGCGGTTCCGGATAGGTCATCGTCACAGTCAAGCGCGTGCGAGCACTCGTCGAGGGAATGGCCAACGGCGGGCTCTGCCACGTCTTGTCCAACTCTGAGGCGACTCGCAGCACAGGCGCGTCTTGGACATGAGTATGTTTGCTTTCGTATTCCGTGTTGCCTTGCCAGCCGTCAACGAAAGAAAGCTGTTGCACCATCCTGAGGGAGGCTGCGACGTTTACGCGCCCAAAGCCTTGCTCGTAGTCGTAAGGCAATGTTTTCCTACTCTGGGCTCCGCCGCTGTGCAGCACTGCGCCATTGACCAACAAAGCTTTGATCAAAGCCGCGCTGGTGTTTTCTTTTCCAACGCCCTGTAGCGCTTCACGAAGCAATGCAACGCAGCCTGAGACCAGAGGCGTGGCCATACTTGTGCCTGACAGAAACATCCAATCAGAATCATCTGATTTCCCATTCGCGGCACGACGGCGATCCCCTAGTGGTAGCGCGCGAGACGCGGCGGAAAGAATCGCGACGCCCGGTGCAACGATGTCGGGTTTAATCCTCCCCACCGTGGCTTCATTGTTCGCATTGCGTGCAGGTAGCGTCGGTCCACGTGAGCTGAAGATGGCCACGGAAGTGACATCGGAGCCGTGCTTGAAGCCATGCGTGTATCTATGGCCGTCGTTGTCTCGCGTTGTTCCTGTAGCACCAACGGTGATGCAATTCTTTGCAGCTCCATTGCCCCCTATCTGGCTCGCGCCCGCGTTCTTGACTGCGGCGTCATTTCCGGCTGCCACGAGGATACAGAAATCCAGGTTGTCGCGCATGAACCGGTCGATGTCGGTCGCGTCGGCTGTGTATCCAAACTGTCCTGTCGTCGGGCTCCATATAGGGCCCCAAGAATTGTTATGGATCCGAGACCCGAGTTTATACGCTTCTGAGTAAAGAACGGACGTTTCGGCTGGTACCTTGAGACTCCACTTGCGTAAGCTGGTGTGCCATTGAGACATGGCCTGTACAACTATCCTCGCGTTCGGCGCAGTGCCTTTCATCGGTACTTCAACCTTTTCGGCGTTCTTGTAGACCCCATTACCGCAGATCGAAGCGCAGACATGTGTACCGTGACCCACGGGGTCATTAGGAGTAGCAGTACCTGGAACCATACCGATGACTTGCACGACACGATCCGAAAAGGCAGGATGAACCTTGATATCTTCTGTGTCCGCCGCCATGCCCTGGTCAAATCCTGAGTCGGCCACGCAGACAATTTGCCCGGTACCTTGGTACGCGATCGAAGCACTCTGAATAGCGAGCGCATCAAATAGAACGGCGCGCGCCTGGTCATTGAACATGGCATACTGCCGGACCTCCTCGATCCTGTTGACGCTGTCCAAAGCGGCGAGTGCCGCGAGTTTGTCCTGGTGAACAGTGACTCTGATCTTGCGCTCCAGGATCTCGAGGTCTCCAACGGGCACTTCAGCCGCTCGCGCAACATACGGAGCCAATTGCTCCGACGTCACGTTGGGATTCTCATGAAGAATTAAATCGACCTCATAGTCCTGTTGGTCGTGTTCGCCCTCGACCATTTCCTTCAATGAGATGGTTGTTTTGAGTTCTGGATGATAACTGAGATTGTAACCATTAGCTTCGTCATTACCAATATATGCTCCACAGGACGTGGTTCTTACATGTCCGCTGTCACGACGAACGGCAATAGCCGTAGGGCCTGCAGATTGTCCGGCTCATATCGACAAAGAAATGTCTTCTCGGCGACATATTCTTGGATCTCAACATGATGGTCTGCCAAAACCGCCTTCTCATCAACAGAGAGGACACGATCAACTTGCACAAGTATGAAATTCGATTCCTTTGCATCGGGTGCAGATCTCACTTCTCCCTGATCGTTTGCATTAACCGTCCACCTCTCGCCTGTTGATCCGATCGGTACGATTGTGTTGCCATTGACGGTGATGGACGCCATAATGCCGCCCTGGGTTGAGAAAAGTCTTCGGGATAGTACGTTTACAATTTTCAAAGGTAGTCTGATATGAGGGTCAAGAGCACAGCACCGGTATGAGTATGCCGAACATTCTATAGACCCTGTACGCTATGGTCTGCACCTTTTCCAGCCATTGAGCACATAGGAAGCCCACACTTCGTGATCTTCCGCCTAGAGCTCTACACAGCCAGCCACAAGCGACGCGGTGGCCTAGGAAGAGCTGGAGCCGCGAAGCTATTGATGCTCTAGACCGTAAGTGAGAGCGAGGCAGCGGACCTCCCCGGCCGCTCAGCCAGCCAAGCACGACGCCACAAACTAGCGAAGGCTACATGTGGAGCTAGGACGCAGTTAAGCGACCCTGCAGAAGACGCAGGGTGAGAGGACCGTAGGAATTCGAGCAAGAAAGTTGGCCAGGTCAGCGCCCGAAGTACGACCATGTAAGGTTTTCGTATTCCAGCGCTGATGGAGGCGTACAGATGTGCTGAATACGGGCATCTTGCGTGTTCTATTCGACGGCCGAAGTACGGTCATCAGACTAGGCCAGCTCTTTTGCTCGAATTCCTGCATGATCAATTGGATTATGGGTAGCTCGGTCATACGCGCACACGAAACTGAGCCAAATGTAGCCGATCATGGATTGTTCATACAAACCTCTGGTAGCAAGCCATGGCAGAGCCTACTGATCAGAAGATAGGTAGGCCTATCTCTCTTTGTTGCAGAGGGCTCAACAGTACATCTATGCCGCAGATGACGCAAAATATACGCAGGCAGAAATTCACGATCAGGATGTTAAAGTTTCAACTTTATACCGATCTATCCTACTTCTCCTACTGTATAGTAACGCACGCTAGGAGAAACATACAAGCTTAGTGCAATCTCAACTTGGCATGCGTTGCCACATTGCGTCTAAGGCCACACTCGCGTATCTGCATCCGTGACTTCTTGTGAGAGGGAGAACACAACCTCATCCAAGTACGTTCTCACCCCTGTTTCCCACGTCTTGCCCGACTTTTTTAGCTCGATCAGTCCTCGACACTTCTCGACGGCATCGCGACAGCCAATCATGCTGTTGAACTGATCCAAGTTGGCCAGATTTGTGGGATCGGGGATTGGGGTGTTGGCGTGATCGTACAGCCCGTGATGGTCGTCGTCTTGTCCATTGTAGACGTGGAAGTTCTCGATTGGGCCCCATTTGTCGACGACGCCGGGTTGGAATTGGAGGGGATCTGCCACGGTGGTATCGTCAGATGGTTTCGATCAACTATGTCACCATGTGATGGAAGAAAGAGAGCCTGCGTTGCAACTTACCGTCGGAGATCTTCGCTTCATGGTTCAGCAACGTGCGTCTCGTGTGTCCCAGAGCGTAGGAATCTTGTATGATATGGAACATACTGCCTAAGGCTCGACGTGGTATGTCCAAGGCTTCGAATGCCGACTCGCCAGATAGCAGATAGCGCAGCGTCCCCCAGTTGGCGGGCAGCGAGAAGTTAGGACAGAATTCGGCCATATCGGTCTTGCTGATGACTGTATCTGGGGTAATCCCTTCCTCTCCATTGAAGAGTTTCCAAAGGACGCCGAGCCATTTCATCAATTTTCCTTTGGTCTCCTCTGGGTTCTCTCCAAGCTTGGAAGCCATACAGTGTAGGAACTGGAGATCGCCGTAGTGGGAGCGCCCGGTCGGGTTTTGCATCTTGTCTGATTTGTCTTGTTCCCATTCGTATTCCCCTGTCTTGAAATAGTAGCCCCACATCATTCCTGTCGAGTAGGTGTGGTTTGCGTCGGCGTAGTCGTCAAAGAGTAGACAAGCGGGATCATCGTTCCACACCACTCCCCGAATGTACTCCCAGTCGTCGTTACTGGCACTTTCTAATGTAGTCCCTGGAGCTACGTTGAATCCTGTACTGACCAGGGCAGCCAGAGTGATAGACTCGTGAAGAGGAGAATGTAAACTACCTCCCAGCCCACCCGCGACCGCGAAGTTTAGTCCATATTCTTTGCTCGCCGCCAAATGTTGTGCGTCCTCGGTATGGGATTCAGAAGCCATTGTAATGATGATTGCGAGTGTAGCTCACGACAGCGTTGAAAAATCTTGATACTGACCGGGGGACCGCAGTCTCCCCTTGTTTTACCTGATGAGACTTCCAAACCCAAGATTGATCTAGACCAGCGATCTGTATCGTACGCGAACGATCTCAGCTTAGCCATAAACGAGCCCCGTATCATCTCGAAGCTGAAGGATGCAAACTGCACCTAGGAGAAGCTGTATGAGGAGAAGTGTCGCCTGACCTTGCTAGACACAACGGTCAGCTCCCCAGTGTTGTGTCTAGATGCTAGATGTACACCTCTACGACCGCCACAACCTCTTTTTCAGTAGCTTCTAGCTTCACAATGAATTCTCACTGCATACGTCCGACATTTGTGGCGCGCGGTGGAAAGCTGAGACCAGCCGCATTTTCACGCCGCATCATTGCCTAGGTAAAGTGTCAACGCAGTTCAGGCGACGAACTAACATACTTCTAGTCGAATGCGTCTAATGAGCGACAGATCGAGCCTCGTTTAGGCCTTCGGAGACGAAGCTAACGTATCCATGGACGAAAACGTAGGATAGGTGGAGTACGGCTGGCGGTCGCTTGACCTCACGAGGTATGCACTGAGGCGGACCGATTCCGTGTGACCAAGTGCGCATGAAGGGTATGCAGGCGGGTGATATGAACTGAAAATAGGCGAAAATTCCGCAAGTTCGCTATGGATTGATGTAGATAGCACCAGGGCCTGTGGTGTGCAGTAGTTGTGGCTTTCCGAATGTCACGCCGAGTGGGCGCGATGCAAAGCCGCTGCGTGTTTGTCGGTCTCGATCAGCACCCGACTAGGGCAGGATTGTATGCAGACTCGCAATCTCCAGTGCTTTGTTATTGATCAACTTGTCGCAACATCAATAGAGTGCGCCTTTGACGCAGACTCGGACCTGGTCACAGTGTCGCAAGCGGGACATTGCATCGTGAAGGCGCTGGCCAAGGTTTGGTAGCGACCTCGGGATGCCCGTTCTCCACCTGGGCGCCGCTCCGGCCGCGCCCGCCCCCGCACAAATAACATGCGCACCAACGGTGGAAGCCATATTTTTGACGCTGGAAGGTGCGCCACCCCTGGAACACTCATAGCAGCTGAAATCAGAAACCATATTAAGCTCGGCGATCCCAAAAGAGTTGTGGCATTACCTAGGCACGCAAGGGCTACCACGCCTAGAACGTCACGCGTAACTTGCGCCAATGCGAGAAGGTTCCAGATAGCAGCAAGTTCAAGCCAAACAGCCCTGATGTAGCTGAGGCCGAGCAGACCACGCAGCAGGGCCACAGCTGGAACTACCATGAACTTTGCGCCATGGACATGGTGGCGCAGCTGAAGCTCAGCTGTGAGTTCTCGATCTTTTGTCCTTGCTACGGATTTCCTGCTCCATGGCTAGCCGTGTCGGTGCTGTAGTTGCTGCAGCTACCGGGAATGCAGAATGCTCCTGTATCGTACTCAACATCATCGGATGGCGGAGTAAGAATATGATATTTGACATAAAAGGCTCTCCGCCCTCCGCTGTTCCTTCTCTGACACAGCATCCAGCCGTAGTTCCCTCAAGACACCATCATCCACAACCAGCTTTACCAGAGTTTCTGATCTCTCGCCATGTCCGAACAAAAGGAGCAAACCCTCAAAGCCCCCGAAGGTGACTTCCAGGAATGGACCGAGAAGACTTCCAAGAGCGGGAAAACGTTCTTCACCAGAGACGTAGATGAAAAGGGCAACACAACCGAGAAGCCAGCAGACGAGCCTGACCACGACGTTGACTCTCACGGCCCTCCCTTCGACAATGAGCCATGCTACTGGAAGGCAGACACCGAGGGTATGACAACCACCGACTTCGCCAACAAGACAGGTATGTATAGCAGCAGTGCTGCATGGTACGCGTGAGGTAGTTCATGTAACTGACACTTGCGAAAAGGCATTACCTGGTACAAGCTCAAGAACACCATCGGAGCAACTTACCAGTTGACCATCAACACTAACTCGACCTACGACTACACGTTCCACACGAAGCCTGATAGCTATGGATTGGATGTGTATCAGACTTGGACGACTCATGAAGTCACGTACACGACCTGGGACCCTACCGTGACCTCGGTCAGTGGCAGTTAGATAGCTGCCATTCTGCGGGACAGCTTCCATCGGTATCATTACGGATGCAGAGCTAGTGGCTTGTAATTAGTAGTAGCGAATGGACATGTCATCGTTCATATCTATCCGTGAATGTACATGGCCTCCAACGTGCTTGAAGCTCGTGCAACATCTCACAGCTCCATTGACACTCAGTACCATTAGTCACAACACTGTGCTTGATGTTAGTGCAGGTATAAGCGTGATGTTCGACCACAGCTCTGGGTGTCAGGTTTTCTTGGACGATACTCGATGACATAATGAGTGAAATTGTTAGAACTGGTACATACGACCATAGGACACTGAGAATTAGGCTTCCCGTCCGCTCAGCCATATACAAGCAGTGTACCGGCAGATTAGTAGTTAGGTGGGTGACCACTAGCGAATCCCCGCTGTTGTATGTTTTTGCTAAATCTTCTTTTTGCCCAATCTTTTTACCCAGGTGTCGTACCATGCCAACCTTGGAAGGTCACACCCCAGGGCTAGCGTACACAGTGCGATATCTTCTTTTTGCCTGTGGAGTCTAGTACATCTTGCCTACCAGCTGGAAAGACAGCGTCGCGCGAAAGCAGTCGAGCTAGACGTCTGGACCCCGCTTCTTCTTTCCCCGCGCGCCACGCACCCAGCATCCTCCAAGCTTCACCTCTAGCCAAACGTTCTCAGCCCGCGCGCCATGTCGGCCACCTTTTTCCGTATGAACGGCTTTGCTAAGGCCAAGTCAGCAACGGTGCCCTCATGGTGTCGGGATGACTCGCAGCACAATCCCTGCAGTCTTTCCTGTTCTGTCGCGCCTCACAACCCGTTGCATACATAGGTAGAGTGAATGCGAAGCGCAGAGTAGGTACTTATACTCTTCTTTGGATCCAACATAGTCCTCAAGCTATACCAAAAGCCACACAAGAGACGTCGGGACAATTCTAATCATGAAAGCTGGCCAGTGGGATCCGTAAGTACATAGTACCTAGGTAGTCCTCACTGAGTATGAGACTGACGAGACATCCAGCAAGCAGCAAAAGGTCGTCGTCAATGACGTGCCGAAACCCACCGAAGCACCAAATCAGTTCCTAGTCAAGATACAGTCAGCATCATTATGTCATTCAGACTTGCTCATGGCCATGAGACCCGACTACAACGTTACCTTAGGCCATGAAGGAGTCGGCTACATTGAGTCCATTGGACCGGAAGCCAGCAACAAAGGCTTCAAAGTCGGTGATGCTATCGGATTTAACTACTTCATCGGGGCATGTTTCGAATGCGAAGGTTGCATGATCCACAACATGCGATGCGAGACGGGTAACCAGAAACTACAAGGTTTTGTGTCGGATGGGTACTTCGCCGAGTACGCGGTCGTTGATTGGCAGAATGCAGTCAAGCTACCCGAAAACCTCGATATGAGTAAGACTGCACCGCTGTTCTGTGCGGGTATCACAGCATTTCATTCAGTGGACAGCTGTGAGTTGAAGGCGGGCGATTGGCTGGCGGTTATCGGGTGCGGCGGTCTTGGACAGTATGCGATACAATATGCAAAAGCCGTAAGTTTGGGCAGAAAGCTGCGCTACGCATGGCGACTGACAGTAGACAGTTGGGTATCAAGACTATCGGTCTCGATATCAACGACAACCAACTCGATGTGGCGAAGAAGGTCGGCGCGGAAGCTGTCTTCAACTCCATGAAGAACAAGGATTATCTCGAAGAGATCAAGAAGCTCACTGGAGGCAAAGGATGCCACGCAGCGGCGGTCTACAGCGCATCGAATGCAGCATACGCCGGCGCCCCAGATGTCTTGAGAACAGGCGGACTACTCATGGTCATTGGAATCGCACCGAAAGGACTGGACTTCATCAATACCTTCGACTTAACAACAGGACGGTACCGCATCAAGGCCGACAGCACGGGTATTCCGCAGCGAATGAAGAAGGCTGTGGATTTCACTGGCAAGCACAGGTATGTTACTTCTTATGACATGTGGAAACAGTTTCTGACCTTCCGCAGCATACAACCAGAAGTCGAGTTCCGCAAGATTGATGATTTGCCGCAGATGGTCGCTGATATGGAGGCTGGTAAAGCGGAGAAGAGACAGGTTGTTGTATTCTAGACACGATATTTATCTAGTCCAGCATTAACTCTACGATATCAACAAAGGAAAATGACAAGTACCGTCACCGCGATGCCTACATACTGTGAGGCGCTCATACCACTGACCATGGATCAATTGTACAACATGACATTAGGCAGCCTGCTTCGATCGTGCCACTGGTAGTACCGCCATGTACTAGACCCCGCACGCTGAACTTGGCTTGCTCCGTTTTCCTCGGTCGGTTATGCAGGGTCACTGTTAGTGGCTGTACTTGTGGAATACACAGGTACTTTAGGTTCTAGGAGCCGACAACCCAAGAGCCTTCGACCTTCTTACACGATCACCAACTACATGCTAAGATGACCTACAAGACTATCGATGTATTCTTTCCGCCCTTTTTATCTCACACGCGTGACTAACACTTCAGCAGCATGATTTCGCGAATCCCGAGTTCGAATGGGACAAACAAGAGAACTACCAGCGTCTGTCCATCCTCGTCACTGGAATATATCATGAACTGAAGCTCTCTTCTAGCCTGTATAAAGCTCTCCTTTTTCTTTCGCAAACACCCCGACGTTACCGATGAATTCTTCAAGAAGCACTACAATCACATCCACTCCGACCTCACCGTCGCCTGCAAGAAGTTCCACGCAGTCAAGATACAACGCTACGTTCAGCACTACCAATCACCAGGCCTCAAAGGCAAACTGCAGAGCTTGGGCATGGATCTATTAGACTACGATGCTTGCAGTCAAATCTGGGTGAAGAAGTGGGAAGATTGGGAGGCTTTTGCCGGGAGCGACGAGTACCGGGCTGCACTCATGCCGGATGCGGAGAAGTTTATGGATCTGGAGAAGGGCATCCAGGTCATGGCTGGGTGAGTCCATCTCTCTTCAGTTCCTTTGGTGGTTAGTGTGGACTGATTTGCTGATGAAATGAGTCTAGACATGATATGATCTGCTTTGGAAAAGCGATTCCCGATTGCGATGCTACGGATGGGATTACGCGCAGAGCGGAAGCGTAGTCTGGGCGCTGTCTAGACATGGTCCGGGATGCAAAGTACTAGGCGTTGTAGTGGATCAGAGCGGAAGACTACCATATCTATCTATTTACCCATGGTCTCTCTGCGACTAGATAACGTCCACACTGAATTAGTCCCTCATGCCTCTTCTATGTCTTGATGCAGATGTACGGTTTGCAGGCTGATCTATTCAGCTCAACCAAGCTAGTCCAACCCTTGGCCAATTCCAGGACTTCAGCATGGTGGCGTCACATGTCGGTCTCGTCTAGCTCAAAGTCCACAGTACACCCTGTATCTCGCACGTGCAATGATGGTCTTGACTGCGATCTCAAGGTGAACGCACGGATGTCGGAAATAAGCTTTGACGCATGGCTCAGTACCGACGGAAACGTTGTTCCAGGTGAAGACGATCCTCGCCCCTTTATCGCCCACTACCACTTCCAGTCAAGCGCCATGATGTGGCGCACATCTTCTCCGCAGTCAATTCCGGATACCCACATCCACGTCCACTACCCCGGATTTCAGAATGTGCAACGATATGCTCGAACTGATGGAGAACGCCAGCCAATAGAACAGCCTGCTAGCATAGTAAGCTCTGCTTCTGTGTATCCGAGATGCGGGGCTGGAGGAAAGTCCAAGTGTCGAACCAGTGGCTTGATGGGATGTGACCTGTGCATGTCTACAAGACCCAGCGAAGGATATATGCAAGCCATAAGTGGGCTCTCTACGACGATCCCTCACCCCAGTTACACAAAGTCGTACCTGCATCAGGCGACTTTCCTTTCACCAAACCATCATGGCAGTAAGTGCCGTCCACGAGAGCGGCCTGCGTCGGCCATCGGACGAGAAGAGAGACATTGAGCAAATCGAAACCGTTGCAGCGACACCACCACAGACATTCGTCACCCCAGATACAACCACTATAACACCAAAGACATGGCTCGTCATCTTCATCCTGTCTTCGACTTTCGGCCTTTCTTTTTGGCCTGTACCTACCACCTCAGCGATGATGGCTCGGCTTGCCACTCAATTTGGTGCTCCGACAGCGAGCGCGTGGTTCATACCCGCTTACACAACAGCCAACGCGATTGGCTTCCTTCTTGCGGGCGCAAACTCCGATCTCTTTGGAAGGAGGTGGTTCTTGTTGTTTGGTAATGCGTGTTGTTGCGTCGGTTTCATCGTGACCGCGACAGCGAAAGGAGCAGACCACTTCACAGCTGGACTGGCTATAACCGGATTTGGAGCCGGATTCGCGCAGATGGCCATGTGCAGCATTCCTGGTGAGTGAGCTGCGTCGTGTGTTACATGCTAGTGGGTCTGACTGTTATAGAACTTCTACCGAACAAGTTCCGGCACATTGGTATCTGTCTTTCGGACGGTTTTGTCTTCCTCATCGTTATAATTGGTCCTATCGTTGGAAGAGTGAGTATAATTCTTCGACCTGGTGGGCGAAATAGCTGACATCCGTTCACAGTACGCCATCGACGTCAATGCGTGGCAGTGGGTATACTGGGCTGGTCTGATTGCTCAATCCATATCCTTTGTATCTCTTTTCTTGCTCTACAAGCCACCGAAGCACCCCAAGGGCGTTCCATGGTCCGAGGCAGTCCGCGGCCTCGATTATGTGGGCACTGCACTTATTGTCCCAGGCATCTGCCTTGCCCTTGTTGGTATCATCAACACCACGTACAAGCCAAGCTCAGACGTAACCGTCATTGCACCCATGGTAGTCGGGTTCGTCCTGATCGCTGCATTCGGTGTTTGGGAGACGCTCTCGAACACCCGCTTCAAACTCTGCCCGCCACACTTGTTCAGGAGCCACAAAGGAAGGGAATTCACGGCGCCGTTCATCGTAGCATTCATCGTCACCATGTTCTACTACTCGGTCAACATCATCTGGCCGACAATGGTGAATGTCTTCTACCTGGGCCCGAACGTCTCGCGGAGTACCGAACTGCTGCTCACACTGCCGCCGAATGTAGGCCTTGTTTTCGGATCACTATGCCTCATGGCTTTAGGCAACGTGATCGGACACTGGAAATGGACATTGATCGGTACCTGGACTGGCATGGTGCTCTTTGGCGCCTTGATGGGCCTTGTCACTCCGTTCAACCAGAACTTGATGATCGCGTTTTGCTGCATCAACGCCTCTTTCTTCGGATGGGCACAGTACGAGTCCATCGCGTTCACACAACTTGGCGTGCCACAACAAGATCTCGGTTTCTCGGGTGGCTTGGCGGGTATGGCTCGTTACGCAGGAGGGTCGCTGGCTCAAGCCATCTATACCACTATCCTCACCAACACCCAGACCACTCGTGCTGCTGCGACGGTTCCCGCTGCTGCTGTGAAGGCGGGTATGTCGTTGGAGAACGCGCAAGCTTTACTTGCCGCTTTGCCCCTAGGCGCAGCCGCCATCGCCGAAGTGCCAGGTACAAGTCCAGAGGCACTAGGCGCGGCTTCTTTGGCGTTCCAATGGAGCTATGCGCACGCGCTAAAGATCGTGGCGCTCAGTAGTCTGAGTTTCGGTATCGTAGGATTGCTCTGCATCTTCTATTGCGAGGATTTGACACCGAAGATGACGGACAAGGTGGAGGTCTTTCTCGAGAACGACGTGTACGCGGACAAGAACGAGTTCCACTGAGCACCTAGAATGCTGTAGCTTAATTGATAATCTGGCTCTCCTCATACCATCTTTTGCATAGCGTTGGACATATCGATGATGCGGTCGTGTTGTGTTGGCTGCGCAAGATGTGTCAGGGGGACGCTTACCTTCTCGCCCGGCGCGTCGCCGACGTCATGGACCCTGCGAAAATGTCTCGTCACGTCTTCCCGTCGTTCCTTCCTCCACCACGACCTTATCCTATAAGCTCCTCATCAGACGTCGACGCGCCGCGCACATGTCGCATACACACAACGGGCCCCTCGATCTGAGATTTCGCATATCATGAATCGGCAACGCGTCCCAAAGAGGCTGGGATGACTCGAAGACGGCTATATTCTCGGGCGCTCCTTGCGGCAACCCCACAACTCATGGGTACCGGATGGCCCGCCGAGGCGACCGGGCCTCCTTCTGAATTCCTCGTGATGCGACGCGGGATCTTCAGAAGAGCGCTGACGATCTGTAGAGTGTAGAGCGGCTGTTTGAAGTTATGCGCGCGGTAGGTAGTGTACGCACCAGTGTCCGTACTACTGACGTTTAGTACACCCCATGGGCAGTATGGGAAAACTCCCGTAGGAGAGAACCCATCTAGACTTCATGTCTCCACTATCGCAATCCCAATCGCAACCCCACCTTCCATACTGGTCGCCCATGCAAAGAGACAACATGTAGTCTCTGCAAGGGCTAGTTTTTGGCACACGCCGTGCCGGTGCCTTATCGCTTCGCCCTGCTTATAAGCTTCATTATCCTTGAGGCCTCACTCTTCTCAAAGCTCATCCTTAGCACGTCTTGAAGAATGTCAAAGTCAGCTGTCGTGTTTGGCGCATCCGGCGTGACCGGTCAGTAAACCCCTCAAAAGACTATAGATGAGCTTCATACTGATAATGATCATGCAGGATGGTCCTTCGTCAACGAGATCCTCTCCGACTATCCCGAGAAGAACATATGGAAGCGGGTTCATGGACTGAACAATCGCCCCCTCGCCCCAAACCAGACGCAATGGCCAGAGGACCCGCGCCTAAACCTGGTCTCTGGCATTGACCTACTCGCGCATAGCCAAGAGAGTCTCAACAAGGAGCTGGTAGAGAAGATACCGGACATCGGGGAGGTAACGCACGTATACTACTTTGCGTACAAGGCGGGCATGGATGTACAAAAGGAGTTGGACGAGGCTGTGGAAATGTTTTCCAAAGCGGTGACAGCTATGGATAAGCTGTGCCCGAACTTGGAATACGTTGTGTTGCAAATCGGCTCGAAGATCTGTAAGTCCTATCCCATTCTTGTGAAGGTGTTGGACACCCAAGACTAACATACATTAGATGGCTGCCATCTCCTCGCTGCACTTCCGTGGTTCGATGAAGTCGCTCCTCCGGGCACCACCGGGCCCAAACTCCCTCCACCGCCGCTCAAAGAATCCTACCCCCGCATACCCAGCCCGTACGCCGAGATGCTGTTCTACCACGCACAGAACGACTGGATCGCCAATTACGCCAAAGACAAGAAATGGAGCTGGATCGAGACTCGTCCCGATCTCATCATTGGCTACGTGCCCAACCAGAACTTCTACTCGCTGGGTACATCCTTGGGTATCTATTTGAGCCTCTACAAGGAGATCCATGGCGAGGGTGCTGAATGCCCATTCCCTGGCAACAAAGGAGTCTGGAAAGCGCTGAGCAACGATAGCAGCAGCGACATGATTGCGCGCCAGACCATCCACCTCACACTCTCCCCCAACACCAAGAAGGGAGAGGCCTACAACGTCGCCGACTCCAAGACACCTTCAAACTGGGAGAAGAAATGGCCTATTCTGTGTTCCTACTTTGGCCTCAAGGCCACTGGGCCTGGTGCCACTCCCATTGATGTGCGCAAGTTCATCAACGACAACATGGAGACATGGCTGGCAATGGAGAAGAAGTATGGGCTGCAACATGGCCATGTGGACGGTGGTCGTGGACTTCAGATTGCCGAATCAATGCTCATGACCAAGTTCGACTTTGATCGTCAATTCGATATGACCAAGATGTACTCAACAGGATTCACCGAGGAGAGAGATACGAAGCAGACTTGGGGAACTGTCTTTGACAGGATGAGGAAGGCCAAGATTATCCCGTAGCTATGAGACGTGACGTGCCATGCAATCGTGCCGCACAATAGTGTGCAAAGAAGGAGGATTTTTAGAGGCATTTCTAAAGACTGCACTA